CTCAAATCTTTCATGACCTTTATTAGGGCAACAGGACTAGATTACCTTATTTCCAGTCAAAATGCTAGAGACAGTACAGGGTTAGCATATGACCCATATTTGGTTCTAACTGCAAGCAATATTTCTACAGGTCGTCCATCTACAGCAGCTACTGCACCTGGTAAAGGTTTCGGTATGAAATTAGGCAAGACACAGAAGACAAATCAATTCCTCGAATCTTTGAAAGCTGAAGGAGAAGTCATTTTGGAGGATGTACAACCAAGTGCAGTTTCTACAAGATCATCTGCTCTTCCACCAAGTGACCCTGTCACAGTGACTATAGAAGAGAAGCTCAATGTTGTTGTTAAAAGAGATGGTGGTATTAATAACTTTGATGTTCAAGGAACACTTGCTCTTCAGGTTCTTAATGATACTGATGGCTTCATCCAATTGCAGGTAACGCCCTTTCCTAAATTCTAGCATTTTACATTTGTACTTGCTTTTTTCTGTCCCTTTACATTTGCGAATAGAAAGCTTTAACTGTAGAAAGTTCATAATAGTATAAAACTTTATTTTATTTTATTTTCCTCGTCACGTGAACCTATACTGATATTGCAATCTGTTTAGGTAAGAATATTACCTTCTGTTGTGGTCACCTTCCAACCTAAAATAATTCCTCTACTGCTCTTTTTCCCCATGGAAAGACCATTATTTTATATTAGTATGACATTCACCTTCATTTAGGTTATGCTATTTTTTTATTTGCCGATAATCAAATTCATTGCACAGCAGTATATCATCGTATGAATTAGTTTATGAGCTGATTTCTCTAATATATGATTTGTTGTAGATTGAAAGCCAGGATATTCCTGGGCTTAGCTTCAAAACACACCCAAATATCAACAAGGATTTGTTTAATGGTCAGCAAATTTTGGGAGCAAAAGATCCAAACAGGCCATTTCCAAGTGGTCAAAATGAAACTCCTCTGGTGAAATGGAGAATCCAGGGAATGGATGAGTCATCTTTACCTCTGTCAGGTGGAAATCTCTTTGTTTTCTTCTGTCTAACAATTTACCAATTTGGACTTTTGGTAACATACTATTTCTGACGCAGTCAATTGCTGGCCGTCGGTATCTGGAAATGAAACCTATGTGAACATTGAGTATGAAGCTTCTGAGATGTTTGATCTGCACAATGTTGTCATATCTATACCTCTGCCAGCACTTAGGGAGCCTCCAAGTGTCAGACAGATAGATGGAGAGTGGAAGTAAAATTTTCTTTCCTCTTCAATTTATTCATGCTTATGTTTTACTAAAGTATATTGCATAAACTTTTTGTGACTAGTGCATGACCTTATGCCACTTGGTTGCTGTCCTGCTTTAAGTGAGGCCTTTTTATTGTTAATCTTAACAAGTCAAAATGTGATACCCCCAAGACTTTTGCTGTTATAACTGGTATATCAAGCTGTTACAGTGGACTTTGTGTATATAACTTGACTGCTGTATCCTACGTAGTACGCTAGATCTGAGTAAGCTGTGCAATATAGATCTGAATAAGCTCTGCACTGTAGATCTGAATAAGCTATGTTACTGCATTACTTCATTTCTTCGTGGCATTACACAATACCTTCTTTGTTTTATAGAATTGAGCACTTCAGCTTGTCCTTGTTGTCGTAGTTTTATTTTTTCTTGTGCAAACAGGTTGGACTCAAGAAACTCGGTGTTGGAATGGTCTATTCTCCTTATTGACCAGTCGAATCGCAGGTCTGAAATATTTGAATATTTAACTTGTGATTATCGTCCAATTTTGTAGATTGACTCTGCTTGTAACTATTCCCTCCTATACCGTTTGCAGTGGTTCCATGGAATTTGTTGTTCCCCCAGCTGACCCATCATCATTTTTCCCCATCTCTGTTGGATTTTCTGCATCGAGTACTTTCAGTGATCTGAAGGTTGGTTCCCACATAATTGTCGAATGAGCCCACCATGCTTGTTGTATCCCTATTCATTCCTTGTTAATTTTGCCTACCTGAAACTTTTCAGGTCACTGGAATCCTTCCTCTGAAGGAAGGCAACCCTCCGAAGTTTTCTCAGCGGGCTCGTTTGCTCACTGCTAACTATCAAGTTGTTTAATTAATGCTTGTACCACAGCCTGAGTGTTGATCCACTTAAATACTTCCAATAGCAGATATTTGTGATATGACATGTTATTGCCATGGACTTTTGCAAGCCATGGCACGGAAGATCATTTTGCGTTTGAAAAAATATGCTTCTCATTGTTAGCATGTTGACAAATGTTGTTCTGATGTATTGCTACCAGAGAAATAAGTAATGTTCTTGCATTTCGTTTGCCAGCGTTTTGTACCCGTCTTTGTTCCCCTCCTGAGAATCTTGTCAGGACAGTGTTATCGTGTAATGTGATCTGCTGGTTTTATAGCATCTCCACCAGATCTTTTATCCTCATTCTCCAAAGATCTCTCAAAAACAACTTTTGGGTATGAGAGATCTTCACCCCATATATTGCCAAAAAGCTGTTCCTAATTTTTATTCTGACATGTAGGGCTCACGTATCAGTCTCTAATTTTTATCTTCCCCTGCCACTCTTGGCCGCGCCCCCGCCCCACAAGGCCAAGACAGGATAGTTTTCTAAAGCTCAATGCCTTGAAAGGGTTTAAACCCGGATAATGGAATCCGGACATTCATTCAGTATTTGTACCGTATCAAAATCAAAATAATTAAGAGCAAGTATAGTAAAGGGTTGTAGGTCGACCGTATGCTGAGGTGGAGAGAGGGAAGGAGAGAGAGAAGTGGGTTCTAAGTTAGAGCCGACTCAAGAACCAAGAATTTTTGTGCGAGAGACAAATAAAATATGTATTAATAGTGAAAATATAAATACTATATGGGTGGGCTGAGAGGCAGGCTGCAAGAATTCATATACAGTCTGTTTGGTTGGCCGGTTCGTATCGTTGCTGGTTCGTTTATGTGAGAGAAAAGTACTGCTGGCTGGTTCTGATGAACATTGCTTTTGTGAGGGGGCTGGCTAGCCCAGCCCTAGCCAGCCAGCCGAGCGATCACGCTGACAGTCACCAGCCGTATTATTAGCCTTTTTCTAATATTGGATTTCTAATACATATATGATACAAATATCAATATCCAACATATTCGATCTGTATTCGACTCTAAATACAAAAAAAAAAAACAACTACTGTAATATCAATTCGTAAGGAATGAGAGTAAAGAAATGGCGGCCCCTTTCCTTTCACTCAGGGGGCATTGTCGTCAGGACAAGCTTCAGGGTTCTTCCATATATTTAGGTATAGAGATTGACGTTGAAAGAGATCTAGATCTTTTTATAGATAAATCCTTTCAGAAATTTCTAATGATCCACTTTCAAGATCTATGAACAAGAGAGCTTGGTTGATGATTTCACTCGGGCCTAGTGGCAAAACAACAAGCAACGTAGGACCCACTGGTGCCATTTTTTTAATTTACCCTTTTTTTATTCAAAATTCACGTTTACATCACTGTGGATATTTACAACTGTTTTTAGACGTAAATCATTATAGGCTATGGAGCCGAGGTGTTATACCTCAGCGCCGTGGCCTATGGACCAGGTGCTGACCTCTGGCTGAAACGGATTTACGATCGCCGGGAGTGTAAACGTAATTTTTTTAAAGGGTTAAATTAAAAAAATTTCGGCCACTCGTGCAGGACGGACTGAGCTGGCATAATCCCAGATGCCAGATCCCTCGTCGGTCCCTGCCTCCCTGAACTCCGTCGAGCGGTTGACAGGCTGAGGCTCCCACGGTTCGACTTCTACGGCGAGCGACGGCCGCTCGCCCGCTCGGTCCATCACCGCCAGCGGACGAGCCCTAGGAGGAGGCAGCGGAGGCGCATCGCCCACAGTGCATTGTAACAGGGGAAACGGTATGTACGCCTCCGTTTCTTCATGTTTTTTTTTTCCTTCTTCTTTCCGGGAATAATTCTATTTCTCCATGAATGAAGCGGACCCATCTTGACACAGACGCCATCAGCATCAGTCAAACTTGTGATGCAGTTCTCTTACCAAATAGACAAACAGTTTCCGAGGAAATCTCCAGTAGCAGAAGTAATTTGGGTGCGCTTCTTTCTTTCTTTTTTCTTTTTTCTTTTTTTTTTTGTAAATTTTTGGGTGCGTTGCGTGCACATTCATTACTCGGAAGCAGAACTGCATTTTTTTTAAATGACAAGTAGTTGAAAATTTTGTAGTAGATAGATCATAAACTACACTGCTGCAAGCACTGGTCTTCCGAGTTCGACTGCTCACATGTCAGGAGAGTAAGTTCTCTTATTACAGAAGTTAAGAATGAAGAACACCTACCCCTCTAGTCTCTAGTAGGAGTCTGAACGTAGTCTTTTGTATTCTTATCAATTATTAAAACTTCAAATGACGGCATTATGTCCGGAAAACTTTGAGCACCATCTGTCATACTAGGAGTTTGCAAAGTAAAATTTCAAGTGGATTTTCTATTTATTACAGGGAAATCTCTCCTCTGAGAAAGTCAAGGTTTCAGCTATATACAAACAAATATGCGGTCAGAATCAGTTGACTCAGCAATGGAGTACTGCAAGGAGCTATTGTAAAATGCAAAGGGGCTGTGCTGTCTACGTCTCATCCGGATGTAACTATTGGCAGAGCTTGATGCTTAACATTGACTTTTCTTTCGGGAAAGCCAACCGTGAAGTTTCCACGAAAATATTGCATCTAGTTCAGTCACCATCATGACAGCTTAAGAACGTTGCGGAGAGAAGATGCCATTGCTCCAAGTACTCAGACTGTGCACCCTGCCAGATTTACCTTGTTTCGAAGTTTGGCCCTGGCGCATCTGAGTTTCAGTTAGCAGGTCTTCAAGCCAGCCGTCAAATAGGCGAAGACTATCTCTGTGATTCTGGTGTTTAACAATTTCCTCATCAAACAATGAGGTCGAGTTTCATATGCTTTTGATCTCTCCTCAGATACCTTCCCTACAAAAGCACAAAACCATGGCTGCCGCCGCCGCAATCATCGCTGGGAAGTTGGCCGGGAACTCGGTGGCAAATGCAACCATCTCCTTTTGGATCAGCAAAGCTTTCACCTGCCTGACTGACTACTGGAAGGCTGATGGCTTGGAAGATGTCAAGGGTAGGGTACTGCAGTCAGTGAAGAAGGTCCAGGTTGTATTTGATATCGTTGACCCCGAACACATCAAGGAACAAAGCTCTGCCCTGGATCTTTGGCTGTGGCAGTTCAGAGATGCAGTTGAGGCAGCAGAGGATGTGATAGATGAGCTGCACTACGACGAGCTTAGAGAGAAGGCAAAGGATCATAAGGTCAGTGACTGGGGCTCCTCTTCTGCTAAACTGAAGCATAAGATTGTCAAGTCTGTTAAACATGTCGGTGTCATGGGTAAGACTGTGAAAGAATTTACTCACCATGGCACGCTCAAGAGGCTGAGGAAAGTCTTGGAGGGACTAGAAAAGGCGGCCACCGAAATTGTGGCTATCCTCACAGTCACACAACATCTCAAAGACATTGCTTCAGGTAGTAAGAGGCAGGTGAATTTTATGAACAGGGATCATGACACTGGTTCAACATTAACTGAACCTTACTTTGTTGGACGAGAAGAGGAGAAAAAAAAGATCATTCGATGGCTGACTCAGGCACCAGTGGAAGCTTCTGAAATTGTGAGAAGTACTCACCATGTTCCTATTCTCTCGGTAGTTGGCCATGGTGGAATGGGGAAGACTACATTGGCTCAATATGTATGTGAAGAGGATGAGGTTGTAAATAATTTCAAGGTTATATGGGTCCATGTTTCTACTAGATTCAATGCAACTTCCGTGACAAGTAAACTGCTGGAATCCGTCACAGGGGTAAAACCTTGTGCAGATCATTTAGAGACGCTTCAGCAGATGCTCAAACAAGAACTCAGGTCTGTAAAGTTTTTCCTTGTTTTGGATGATGTCTGGGAAGATAAGAATAAAAAGGAATGGGAAAATATATTTGCTCCACTGAGGAAAGCAGAGAGTGGGAGCAAAATTTTAGTAACAACCAGAATGCAGTCAGTAGCAGATATGGCTGCAAATGCCATGGGGGTTGAAAGAGAATACCTGGAATTAGAAGGGCTGCAAGAAGATGAAAATCTTAAATTATTCAATCATCACGTATATTCTGGTAGGAATCCACAAGATTTTGAAAATTTAAAACCCATAGGTGAACAACTTGCAAAACAACTAGGAGGATGTCCCTTGGTAACAAAGGTTGTTAGCGGTTATTTGCAGTGCAATATGGATCCTGACAGCTGGACTGATTTCTTACAAGAAGGCCTGGTACATTTTAATGGAAGTGAAGATGATGTAATGGAAACTTTGAGACTAAGCTACTACTGCTTGCCAGCACAGGTCCAGATTTGCTTTCGATATTGCAGCATATTTCCGCAGGACTACGAATTTAAAAAGAAAGATTTAGTGTTGATGTGGATGGGCTCAGGATTGATATCACAACATGGAAACAAACCAAGAAGGATTGAAGATATTGGGTATCAGATCTTGGCTGAGTTAACTAGGAAGTCATTCTTTGAAATGAAATTCAAGGTAGTTCAGTATAGTCAGAGAAGAGAAGAATATTACATCATGCATGACCTGATGCATGAACTGGCAAAATATGTTTCTGCTGGAGAATGCACAACATTAATTGATCCTAACATGTTGGAAAATGAGAGTGAAAATATCCGACACTTGCGTATTGCTTGCATTGACAAATTTTCTACTGAAGAGGTCAAGAAAATCACACGTTTTAAGAATCTGCGCACCGCTATTATTGATGGTCCAGGTTTGATTGACAACGATATGTTAGGCATGGTTGAGAATGCTATACAAAAATCAAAATCCTTGCGTCTACTGCGATCAAATTTGGAGAACACATTCCATCTTCCTAAACTTGCTGATTTAAAGCACCTTCGTTATGTCTATCTGCATAGGATATCACTTGAGGGAATGCGTGGGCTTGTTAAACTTTATCACTTACAGCTAGTTGATTGTTTGAATGATTGTGGGGAAGAACTGAAGCAAGTGATGTATTTAGGGAACATTGATCATCTGCGATATGTAAATTATGGGTTGCGGAGAATTGGTGAGTTTCCAATTGGAAGACTCACTTCACTTCAGGAGCTGCACAACTACCGGGTACAAGGAAGTAAAGGTAACAAAATAAGTGCTATCAAAAACCTGAAGGCTATCCGCGAACTAGAGGTTTTCAGCATTGAGAATGTTGAAAGTCTTGAAGAAGCTGATAATGCCAAGTTAAAAGAAAAACCGTATCTCAACTCTCTATCTCTCACGTGGTCAGCACGTGCTGATGCAGAAAATGGGAAAGATGACTTGATTCTTGATCACCTTGAGCCACATGCTCACATTAGAAACTTGAAAATTTCTGGATATTGTGGTGCAAGACTTCCTATTTGGATTGAAAACGTCCGTGTCAAGAACCTGGTGTCACTTGAGTTAGCAAGATGCATATATTGGGAACAGCTGCCTTCACTCGGAGAATTAGATTGTCTTAAGAAACTTTGGTTGGAGTGCCTTCCTAGCCTACAACAGATTGGTCATCCATCTCAACTCTCCAACATTAGATGCATTGGTTCATACCTTCCTCCACATCTTGACACGTTGATTGTAAGACGTTGCAAAGAACTGAAGCAGTTACCTATCCTACCACCCAGCTTGGTTCATATGGAAATATGTAAGGTCGGGTTGACCGAATTCCCAAGGATAGGCAACCTACATGGTGAGAGTATTGAAACCAGGCCATCTAAATTGCAGTTTGTCAGTGTTGAAGAATGCGAAAGTTTGACCTTACCTAAAGGAAGCCTTCTGTTGCAAATACACTACATCAGAACGATCCATGTCCTACACATCAGTGACTGTAAAGAACTGGAGTCTGCACCCTGTTTGATGAAATGATAAATCTTAGGGAGCTTAGTATCAGAAATTGCCCGAAGCTGAGGGCATCAAGCGAAACTGAAGGCAAGAACCTGTCGCCATCACTAAAAAAGCTTATAATCAAGCAGTGTGGTGATCTAGTGCATTTTCTGATTAAGTCACTGCATGGTCTCGTTAACCTTTCTGAGCTGGTACTAGAAAATTGCCCCGCCTTCTATCCCTTCCGTCAGCTGATGTGTGCAAGAGTCTCACGTCGCTGAAGTTCTTGAAGATAATTGGGTGTGAGGATCTCTCATCATTTGGTGGACTCAGTTCCTTTGTTCCCTTGTTGAGCTGAAGATTAGCTCCTGCAGTAAGCTTGCAGCTCCACCTGTATTGGGTGGTGCCGCTTCTGGTCCGGCTAATGATTATGATGATGATGTTATAGAAGAGGAAAATCCGTGTTGCCTGTCAGTTCCTTGCAGATAGATTACCTTGAAGTTGATCTCCCATGTGTATTGAACATTGAACCTCTCAGTAGTCTTTGCCACACGAAAGGATTGGTAATTGGAGGCGGAACTCAGTTGGAGAGCTTGCCAGAGCAATGGCTTCTGCAGAACCACAAAGAACTCCAGTCACTGAAGGTGTTATGTGCCAGTTCATTGGAGTCTCTGCCGCTAAGTATCTGAGACCTGAGAGCGCTTAACTTCTTGTTGTTGTCAGGAGCTGGGAAACTTACATCACTTCCAGACATGCCCTCCTCCCTGCGATGGCTCCATGTCATAGGCTGCTGTCCAGAGTTGGTGACCCAGATTAGAGTGAAGGACAGCCCTGAATGGAAAAAAGATCTCCACAATTCCCAAAGTTCACATAGCTGCTGCCAAGACTGTTCAGTCTTGTCCTCATATTTTTCATGGTATATATGCATCTCTCTGATCTGCATACACAGTTGCTTTACATGCGAATGCTGAGTTTTTCAATTCTCCATTGTTCTATGCCATGTGCGTAGAGAGATTAAAAACTAAATAGGCCTGTGATTTACCTATGTTTTAGAATGTTATCTAAGCTTTGTTTCTCTTTCTGAAGGATAAACAAATATCTTTTTTTTTTGCGGAAACTAAACAAATATCTTGGTAGGGTAATATTATCTGGCAGTTTTGCATCCGTACCTAATACTATGTAGATTGTATGTCTGGATAACGTTTACCATAAACTATTTTCGCGGGGGGCAGGGGAAGAAAAACAGAACACCAAGAAGCAGGCTTCTTTGTAGGCAATGAAATTTAAAGTAGAGTGGACTCGTGGGGAATTTCCTAGGCTGCAGTCTTTACCTTAAATACTCTATTTTCATTGCTTATTTTTACTACCTATTATCTAATGACTGAACATAAACTTATATAGGTGGTTATTACTTCATCTATGGAAAAGAATGCAGTGAAGAGACTATATATGAAGGAAGTAATCAATAATCATTGAAGCATAAGCCTGCTTCACTCCGTGTAATTCAAATATGGGGTAACTATTGTTGTGCTTGTTAATGTCTTTACTAGATTCTTCTTGTACAATAGCTCTGGTACTTTAAAATCTTTGTGATTGTGCACGATAGCATATTGAGGTTGTAGTTGTTGTTTTGCTTTTGTGTGAACAGTGCATACCAGGAGGAGCGACATAAGTTCTAGAAAATAGTGTTTTAAATCTCCAGCTATGGTATTTAGTGGAGAGCCTCTCCAACAGCTATTTTTTTAGATGAAGGAACCTTTATTAAAATAAAGTTCTGGTCTCTGTAACAAGGTATTACACACGACTATTACAATAAGAAAAAAGAAAGAAAGAAGAATGAGACCTAGGATGCTCTAAGCCGTCTATCAGCCGACAATCCAACTATGTACAAATGACTTGACACAGGCAACTGCTCTATCGACCTGTATTCTATAGTACCATGAAGTGATATAGCCAAAGCCTCTAAAACTCCATCGTCGTCTTACAAAACAAGGTGATGAACGGTACATCTAAAGCATCTTATATGTCTCCAAAGTTTGCCTGTTCTTCGCCAACCGGTCATCTAGTAACATGACCCAATAGCAATAAACGTGACCGAAACAACTGAGTAGATGACCGTCATGTGATTCTTCTTTCCACAAAGCCTCATCAAACTAGAACCCCCCTTTCTCCTAAAATACAGGTTGGTCAGCTGCACATCCAAAGACGAAGACTAGACCTCCACCATGTCCGTAAGCCGCCGCAGGTTTATCAACAATCAACATCGCACATAGCAGGGCTAAAATGAGGCCAAAACTATACATTGATGTGAACACATGGTGGAGATATATGCCCACGTGTGTGTGATGAATGATTGACACAAGAGTTGAGAGGTTTGAGGTTTCCCCAGTTGAGTCATATTTCAAATATGCTTGATTTTGCTAATGGCTATCCGGAGGTGTCGTGTTGAGTTGTGCAACATGTCTCTTAGCTTGTGAATGTGCAGCTGTTGGGTGTGCCAAGATGGTTGACGGCAATGGAGAAGGTCGATGTGGAGTCCAAAAGGATGGAACGGGAGCGGTGAAGGACGGATGAGAAGGCTTGGACCGAGGGACCAAAGACCATACAGACATACCATGTGCATCTCACATTAATTGGGTACAGAAAAGAGCAAGAGTACATGGGTGGTGAAGATGGCATCAAAGTCAAGGAGGAGGACGATGGTGTCGTGGCACTTGGTGGAGGCGGATATATGCATCTACATGGATGATGAAGATGGCATCGGTTAAGTCAAGAAGGAAGGTGAAGGTGTCAAGCTTGACGGAGGTAAGATATACGTCAAGATCGGTGAGTCACGCCTCGTGAGGCATAGATGAGGGTTTTGCCGATCATCCTCAAAACCGGGGATGGACGGTTGTTTGGGCCTCAAAACCATTGGGGAGGGCTTTGCTGGTTTGGGCCTCAGAACTAGGCATGGACGGTTTGACCGGTTTGGGCCTCAAAACCGGAGAGTAACGGATTGGCGTATACGTGGAATCTTGGAGCTTGCGTCAACATAAAGTCAAGAAGACGTCCGGTCCATTGGATTGCTGAAGAAAAACGTGGACGTATTTACCCCTAGGGGGTATTTTTTAGAGAATTACACAATATAACGTAGACGCCCACAACACGCACGCACACTCATCCCTATGAACACACGTACGCAAAACCTACTCCTATGAGCACCTTCGAAGGACTGAGCCAATAGTTATCGAGATTCACGAAGTCACCACGGGCGCCTCGCTGTCGACGGGGCCGTTGCCTACCACTTAAAGCATAGCACTGTTAAATCATGGAATAAGTCTAGGAAAATGCGAGCACTCGTGCCAAGTCGAGGATTTAAACCCGGGTGGGCAGGTTTCACCACAAGGAATCCAACCAACTGATCTATGATTAGTTTGCACCCTAGGGGGTATTTGGGCTAAGTGATTCATGTAATTAAAAGCAACTTGGAAAATAGCCAACTGCCTATTTATATATGAGAGGTGGTTGATTGTGAGGTAGTCTTTGGAAGCCTTTGGGGATTAGGCTCTCATTTGGCTAGTTGAGAGTTTTGCTCAGTGATAGAGAGAGAAGAGTTGTTCTTAAGCTTTTTGCCATCCAAAACTTTGACCGGCTTATCTTGATCTAATCCAATCCTTCTCGGTGATTGAATTCGTGCTCAAGTTGTTCCTCTCCAAATCTGAAATTTGTCTTTTGGGGGATTTTCGAAGCCTTTTTTTTTGTGATTTTCGATCTGCTGCTTTTCCTGAACTGTAGGATCTATTTTGGGGTGTTTTGGGACCCTTGGAACTTGTTCAAATTATGGCTTGAAGCCCAACACCTATCTCCAAAGTCCCAGGCCTTGTTCGGCTGGTTGGAAAAACAGCTGATGCTAATGCTGATTTGTTGTGAGAGAAAAACACTGTTATTTCGCTGAAACGGTACGGCTGATAAGTTCAAGCGAACAGGGCCCCAATCCCCAAAACTCTTCTTTTCTAGCCTCTTTTGGTGACTTTCTTGAACATATTGGAGCTGAAGGTTTTGGGTTGTTCTTGGTTGATCTTTAGGTGCTACGAGCACCAAGAACTTACATAGCCACTGATTTTCACTGACTATACGTGAAGGAAGTAATCAATAAATCATTGAAGCATAAGCTTGCTTCACTCCGAGTAATTCAAATCTGGGGTACTATTGTTGTGCTTGCTAATGTCTTTACTAGATTCTTCTTGTACGATGGCTCTGGTACATCATACTCTTCGCGTTTTGAGGTTTTAGCTGTTGCTTTGCTTTTGTGTGAACAATGCTTAGACAAGGAGTGACATAATTTTTAGAAAATAGTGTTTTAAATCTCTAGCTATGGTATTTCGGAAAAGCCTTTCGTCAAGGTTTTTACCGGCCCACCAAGCCACGAGATGCAAGAGGAGGTCGTCCGCAGGTATGAGGGATGCAGTTCTACGGCCGGCAAACTCATTTGCCGGCACAGAGCTTCAAAGCATCCCATCACTTGGCCGTTCGCGGTCTAGGGCCTCGACATGATAGGGCCCCTCAAAAAGGGCCTAGGCGGCTTCACTCACCTACTCGTAGCGGTCGACAAATTCACCTAGTGGATAGAGGCCAAGCCCATCACCAACATTCGCTCGGAAGAGGCGGTCAAGTTCTTCCTTGATATCATCTACCGTTTCGGCGTTCCTAACTGTATCATCACTGACCACGAAACTAACTTCACCGGAAAAAAGTTCCTAGACTTCTGTGACGGATACGGCATCAGGATCGACTGGGCCTCAGTCGGACATCCACGTACTAACAGTCAGGTCGAACGAGCCAATGGCATAGTCCTTCAAGGACTCAAACCATGAATCTTCGACCGACTCAATAAATATACCGGGCGATGGGTTGCAGAGGTCCCAGCGATCCTCTGGAGCCTAAGAACGACCCCGAACCGATCCACAGGGTTCACACCCTTCTTCCTGGCCTATGGAGCTAAAGCAGTGTTGCCCTCCGACCTCGACCACGGCACCCCAAGAGTGAAGGCCTTCGACCGC